GCATAAACTGCATTTTCAGTATGAATTTCACAACACTCTCAACAATGCTGTGTTAATTACTGCTTTGTGTTTTATTCAATTAAAACAGCAGAGCTATATTTCACTGAATGTCTGTCAGGATGAAATTGTTTAAGTTTGAAATAGTTTTACCTGCAAAATGTGTGTGGATTTTAAGTGTGTTCAAAGGGTGTTTTTGGCATGGAGCAATGTCATTATTATACAGTTAAATGAACAACACATGATGTTTCAGGCTTTAGTATTAGCTGCAGGATATTTTCAAACACTTCATTTCTATTATTTGTGCTAGACTCTTCTAGCTCCTAGCGTCTAGCTACACTGTATTGCATAACCACAAAATCACAGGAGACAGAAAGATGTCCCTGGCAAGTAATCTATGGAAAAATGCTTAGCCCCTGTTATCTGGAAAAAGAGTCAAAATCACCAATCGTCTTCAGGGGAAACATTTGTGTTTTTTAAGTGGCAAATATTCAGGCTTAAATGAACAGCTGAACCAGAGTCCTCTCCTGGAATAGCGACTTGATTGCCAGACCTCTTATTTAGATGGAAGTTCCAGTTCAATAAGTTTCATTATATATGGTTTGAGTGGGGAGCTGCATCAGCACACAGGGCTCAGAAGAATCAAGTTGAGATTAATTCCACTCCGAACATGAAGTTTTGCCCCTTAGCACCTGTTGTTTTTCTCATTTTCTCCCCCCATCTCTTTCATCCTCCTCACACCTGCAGAGTGTGGCCCAGCTGAAATGTTGGGTGTTATTTTGCAACAGGGGATTATCATCTGCTTGTTAATATACCAGATGTGACTGTATATTTGTGGTTATATGTGCAGAGAGCTGCTAGGGAGCACAGGGCTGAGGATAGCAGCCACCCCTATAAAGGGAAGTCTACTAAATCATGGTTAAACTGGGATGTGTAATGTGGAAACGAGTCTGCGCTCGACATTTCACACACAGCATAGAAGAGGATTCATGGAGCATGAGATTACTGAAACTGAAATTAGAGTTGCAAGTTATTTCTAATAACTAATGCAACAATATAGAGTTTTCCATTCTTGCTATGATCTGATGTTAGAAAACAGGAAAATGAGTACCCTCAAGGATTTTTGTCTCTGCATGCTGGGTGTGTTAAATCAGAACATTATTACAACAAAGATATCTGAACTGTCAGCTGCTGTTGCGATGCACTAATTCGGCTTAAAAAAATGATGGACTAAGTTTTCCTATATATACACTACATATCATAGAGTATAGGGGGCTGTTTTTGCTTCTATTTTAACACTGAACCAGTATAAAGGGCTATGCTTCTTAAATTCTAACCCTGTGCAAACCTTTCTACTACTTATTACCTTTCTTTATACTGTATATGCAGTATGCATGTGATTGCAAAACATATATACATACATGTATATTACAACAATAAAAATGATTACTGGTAATTTTACCAATGTTACTTTGGGAACATTTTAACTGAATACTCTGTAATTTAATTGCAATTTAATTTAAATGAACCTCAGTCTGTTTCCACTATTGCACTTGTCATTACTGTTTCTCCCATATAGAAAAGTTTCCACTGAAGTGAAAACTGGAAACGCACATCAACTTCACAGCAGGTACAACAGCTGAAAGCCCTGTGAGTTAAAAGCACCTTAGAAATTCTGTTTGATATTCCACTTGTTTCAGGACCGGAAGCTACAACTCCCATGTTGAGAACAAGCTACCTTTAAGGTATGACTTGCAGTACTGCCAGTGCCTTCTATTTGAATAGAGGCTTCCTTATTCTTTCTGAGCCAGAACAGAAAGACGTCCTCGTTTTTAAACATGTGAACTCGAAACCCATTTGGTATTCATATTGCAAATCCATGTTTTAAAATCTTACCCAAAACTGTGCTGCCTTAAAATTGTATGGTAAAATCAAAAGCTGTGCATGCTGAAAGGTTGCCAATTCCTGATTTTTTCAGTCACGTCCATAAAAACCTAATAATTAAGAGTGGCACCTTGCAGACATAACCACTGGCTATAAATAATTCACACTGAGCCTCAACTGCTGATGAGAATTCTTGGCATCGCATCACTCTAGTGCAGAAACTGCTGCTCCTCCTCACTGCTCATGACAGAGCATTTGCAGTGCTTGTGGCCACTTGTTCCCACGCAGCAGTTTCGCTGGGTTCATTGGTGATCACCACAAAGAATTTGGGTCCTTCCACGGACTGAAAAACAATCAAACATTCTGCCGCTAAAAACGCCCTTAGGGAATTATTGCAAACACAATTGAAAACAACTTTTTTTTACATTTTCATGCCTCTCATTATATAAAGTGTCTTATTTTTACATATTTCGTATATTTGTTTACTAATCATAGAGTTATATTGAATATTATATTACATACAACACTATTATTCTGTACATGTACTGTACCTAATGACAGGAGGCACATTATTGCTGATAACAGTGACTAATGACTGTGTCCTTATCAGTTCATTCTTTACTTCAACACATTTCAAAAACATCCTGAAAAGGAAATGCTTCCATGCGAGGATATGGGTGGGTTAGACATTTCAGGGCACAGAGATCAGTAGTAAATGTGTCAAACAATGCTGATTATCTCATCATGAGAAATGTTCAAAAACAGTTGCGGAGCACAAAGAGGTAACACTCAGACTAGATATTATTTCTATCATATTATTTTTATTTCTTGAGGGACGTGGAATGGTAATGGAGTGCTGTATCCTAGGAAACTGTCTCTGGCCATTGGCATTCAGAGGTTAGGGTTTAAACACTGCATGCCCCATCTGTGAGAAATACAAACGGGACTATATTGCAGGTTTGGTGCTGGTGGAATGGTTCCTGCACTTTGTTTCATCCCAACAAAGACAGCTGCGAGGATTCTGTGACAGTGTCACTCCACCCAGTCCTGCTGCTGTCTTCACCTTTCCTATCCAATTCAGAGCATTGCCTCTTGACTGGGGATCTACAGTCATTCCTGACATTGTCAAAAAAAAAAAAAAACCTGAGACTCCTGTCATACACAAGTTCCTCTTCTGATATATGGGAAACAGTCACCCAGCAGTGATACTGTACGTGCTCTGTCATTCCTTTGGTTCTGCCCACAGTTACCAAGTTCACCTTTTCCCTAGACGATATCAGCTTTTGTCCACCTCGCTGCTGTATGATACCCATGCATTATATACTGTACACACTAGAGTGTGTACAGAATCCACATAATGTGATGACAAACTAGTACCCTTTCATTACGTCTGGAAACGTTTTCTTCTGCCTTCTTCTGCCTGTACTGTATGTCTGGCTGTGTGGCTGTGAATTCTGAAAAGACTTTCATTTGTCAAAGCTGTAGTTATTATACACATTGCATCCCCAGTACTTTAACACTCTTGACACCTCCTTGAGTGTCTGCAGTGCTATTATAACACTGTGAATCAGGTGTAAATTAGGAAAAGAATAACAGGTCAATGCTGCAGTGGTTGGATGTCTAGAAAAAAGCCCCTCATAAGCTCAAGAAAAGATTAACTGTTTTTTTTTCTTCTGTAAGAAACTTTACCAGAAAAAATATCATGGGAAATCACATTTTTAACAGAATACTTTATATTTTATGATACATGTTGCCATCATTTTGATTAGGCTGTTTTGTTTGACCTTGCCTGAGTCTTCCTGCCTCTGCCGTTGTGCTCATTTTTTCACATCCCGGTCATCTCAACCCAACGAGACGGAAAGGCTTCACTGCACCCTCATGGGTTCACTGCCAGGCACCTACTGGTGCTCTTTTCTTTGCAATCCCAGTTCCGGGGGGTACTTCTTATCACATAAAGAACTCTGAAAGACACGGATCCTGGAAAGTACAGGCTATTCACTGGCTCTTCCTGGAATTCTCCTGAACTTCCCCAGGAAACATCTGTCCCTTTCCTGCAATAGAGTGCCGATATCAAAGCAGCAGGGAGAACAGAACAGAATACTGTGGAAATAATGGAGGAGTCACATAACACCCCAATGTGCACAGAGACCTGGGCTGTGAATGACATTTTCTCAATTCCAGATCTTCAGATGTGTGCTTGTATTTATTTTCTCACCTTCAGGATGGGCTTAATGAACAAAATGATGGAAACCTTTAAATTAAGTCGGTAAGTTACCTACACTGGACTGTTTTCAGTTGTGTAGGAGCTACTGTACTTGTGACATTTGTGTCTGTGTTCTTGCTTAATGCCAAATGAACATACAGTAAGCAGGACCGACATCAAAGGGTCAGTTTTCTTGTGCACTAAGCTTAACTCTGCTCATATTGCACCATCTGAAATTGTTTTTAAAGAACACATTTCTACTGTGTTTACATATACTTAAAAATTCACACACCTCATCAAAACGTTTAGCAACGAGAAATTATTTGACTTTCTTTACCCACAAATCCTAGGAGATTAAACAGGCACTATTAATTTAAAGTATCACACTTTTATTTTGCTGGATGGAATTAATATAAGCATATTGACTTTAAAGATGTATTATTTTTGAAGAATGAGCTTTTTTTGTTGTATTTATTATTGCCTGTACAATTCTAGTGCTTGTTTTGGTAAACCTAAACATAAGCGATCCTTATTCTAAATTGCCCATTTAAGGAACTTATTTACTTTTATAGCTAATTTTTATTTTGGTTATAATAAAGAACATTAGGACAATAGCAAGAATAATACAATGGGTTAAACACCTTTTACCTTCCCCCCTCCACCCCCTGCGGTCTTTCCAGCTTATTTATTTTCCTCTATTTTAATCAATTTAATTTTTATTTTAAAAAAACTGCCCATTTCCCCTTATCTCATTAGTGCTCACATTTTTCTTTTATTTGTTACTCAAACCTTTGTATGTTCAGTGTCTTTGCATCCTTCCTGACCTCACCAGGAACATCTGAGCCTTAACAAACACGAGCAGACTTCCTTCTGTGGTTTTGAGGGAGGGGCTTTCTGAGTGACCAAGATAGATTATGGATTTTTTTTTTTTGCTCTTTTGGATGTGACTGTAACTGCAACAACATTAATAACCAGAGTGAACAAGAGTCTCAAGGAGAGATGGAAAATGATCTCTGGATCTATCTGCTGTGCTTCCTTAAGGCTGTTTTCTGCACAAGTCCAGAAGACAGCATTATTTGTAAACGGGATGTTTGCTATGTTCTGCACACTAGCAAGGCCAGCTTTGAAACCTCATCCCACTCCTGTGGGAACAGCAGCTTTCTGACAGATTTGGCCACCGAGGAAGACAATGAATATGTCCTTAAACTCTTCTCCAGCTCTTCTTCACATTTGAATGGAAACTTTGTTTTCTGGATAGGTCTGAAGAGAAACAAACTGAGCTGCACACAGGAACACGTAAATCTCCGTGGATTCAACTGGATCGCATGGCATGAAGACAGGTCAGAAGTAAGTAAATGGAGGAAAGAACCAGAACACACATGCATGACCACACGCTGTGGAGTGTTTGCAGTTGACTTTAGTGAGGGTCATTTATTAAACTGGGGCTGGGAGGAGGCACAGTGTTCAAAGGAATACGGCTTTATTTGCAAACTCAGTCCCCCTAGCATGTGTAGTGCGCCTCAGATCCCACAAATAAAGGATATAAAATACAGGACTGTGAAGAAATCAAATGTGCCAATGACCTTTTTTCCACAGAGTACTGTGGCTGAAGTCACTTGTTCATCTGAAAGGAAAATCAATCTATTGTGTCACAATCACCAATGGAAATTGGCAAATGAAGATGCACCAGACCTGACAAAGCTTTGCCAGTGCCCAGATGGTTTCAGATCTAATGATCAGGGGAATTGCTTTGATATTGATGAATGTATTAACACGGAAGGAAGCTTTTCCTGTGAGTGTGATGAAAAAGCTGGGTACCTTGGAGAAGTTCGGAAATCCTGCAAATCCAAGCCAGCAGACACCACGACGCCTGGCATTGCGGAGAAGGCTACTACGCTCAAGGACATGGCAAACAAACAGATCCCAGCAGCGATTTCTACACACGTACCCTCCTCGCGTCGGGCTCTGGGCGAGAGAGACCCGTCTTCTACCTTCGGCGTGACGTCCACAGCACTCAACAGAAACTCGGGCCCAAGGTGCTCGAGCCAGTCTTGGTGGCTGCTGTGGTCCTGGCTGCTGTGGGCGATACTGTATAGTTTCAGGGATTCTCACGTGTTGCTTTAGGAAGAACTCCAAGAAAATAACAGGTAACAAAGAGAAAGAATCAGCTGGTTCCTTGGACCTTGACCCAAACTGTGTGGACTTGTCAGAACAAAAAAATGAGAAAGACAGTAATGCTGACCGATACGTAATGTTACATAATGGACAATTCACAATAACATGAAATCTTAGACTAAGAGTCCAACTGTGACTTGGGAACATTCCTTGGTGATATTCTGCTATGTACTACGTATCACGAATCTCTATAATAATCTATCACAATGTTTCTAATACTATCATAGTTTATCGTAATGTTTCCATCACTATCATAATTGATCACAATGTAACTATCACTATCAAAGTCCTTTTGCTTTGTTTCTAAATCATTTCATTAAATGAGAATAGAGATATGCTTATTTTTGACATCTCTGTTTTTTCTAAGATGTTAAAATCAGTTTATGATATGGCAAGTGTATTAACAGGTTTTTTTCATACATACTTTTTTAATTCTGTCTTCATATTTAATCTCTGTTTTTACTGTTCCAGAAAAATACAATTTATAGAAAATACGATCCAATATTGTATATGACAAGTTGAAAAATCAACATAACCTATCGTGTAAATGCTGAGCAGGAATATTTGCTATGTAACATCGCCATCTGTATAAAACACGTTTCTTAAAAATTGATTTATATTTTTTTGCAATTTAAAATTTTGTAGTGGCTTTTTTCCTTATCCTACCAGTGTCTGTGAGCTGTCTCTTGATTCTCAGTTTGCTAACTTGCAATTTAATTCTGAAAGTAATTTCTACTGGCTTTTTACTGTTGAAATCATCTGAGTCTCCTGATTTTATCTCATCTCAGTGAGGGATTCATCATTTCCTCTAGCAGTTGCTCGCAAGGAATGCAGTAAACGTCCCAAGAGATGACTGGAAAAAAACACATCTTATATGCTAAATTAACTTACTCTGTCCGTAATCGATTTTGCAGTCATCAGCGAATGCCACCTTCACTCACGAACTATCAATCTTCTGTTCAACACTCGTCACAGGATATTCAAAGCTTTATCGCCCAGGACAAAATCTGTTACCAGTACTCTGAAAGTCACTGAAAAAGTTTAAAGGCACAGATTTTGCAACAAATAGCTTGTCTATACAATATATATATTTTACTCTAACAGGTATTGTTATAGATCACAGTTGATGGACATAGTATATACAGTATCTGCAAAAACTTTAAAGATCCCTTAATAATACGCTTTTGACTTTTAGTTTAAACGTCGATTTAAGACGTGAAAGAGAGACTCTAAAACTGCTCGAACAATCGGGATTTCACGGCGCCAGAGACTTGAATAGAGCCCTTTTTCAAAACGTATCGGGTATAAGTCAAATATGAAGCAGAGCCGGTCACTGCACGGCCTTCAATTCGTGAGACTCGCGAAAGCGTCATTTGAATTTCCAGCTGAAGTCCTGGACTGAGAAGCTCCGTTTAGCAGTGAATTCTCCCGTGAGCGCGTACGTGTGTGTGAATTCTGACCAAACGTCACTGGCTCCGACGCAAAGAGCCTTGGCCTCAGGCTTGTTGTCCACACGTCATTCCGTATTGTGGATATAATTATAAGTGAACGAAATAAGCCAACCGCGAACAAATTCGAATTTATAAAGACAAACCGGAGTGTATCCATTTAGGCAGCAGAGCCTCTACTTCAGCAGTTGTCTTAAAGTGTTTTTTAAGGACACAACAGCATTGTCCCAGCTGGTATTTAAACCCACAAACTTTCACTTATGAGACACCGCACAGCTGTTTCAGTTCATACCTTAACCGTACAAAATCCTTTCAGAATTCTCTACATCCAAAGTGCAGATAACTTCTGTGTCATTGCAGAAAACGGTACCCGCACGTAACTGCAGGAAAATGCCCTCTTTATCATTGCTTTAGTTTATTCTGCATTTGTCATACAAAGTACCTGTCTGATGACTGGTTTACACGTTATGTTTTTGTCTTCTACAAACATAACGGGGCGCTATATTGGAGTCTTTAAAAAAGATTAACTTATTACCTTTAATGGTAGATTAAATATATATATATATGTAAGCCTACAAAACATATTTCACTTTAAAGAAATAAATCTGGAATTCATAATTTCTTTAAAAGCGAAAGTCTAAGGCGGCACTTTGAAGCACAAATGTTTAGATGGGGAAAAAAGACGCACACGTGTGATTTTATTAACAGGTTCCAAAATAAAGTTTACCCGTCAACGCAAAGAACTAATCATTTCCTTATAAACTAGAAACTAGATAAAAGGCCGTGACGAAATGTTGCCATTATGAAAAAAATGTTCAGGCTGTGTTAGCAGAGATAAAGAAACGGAAATTGCCCTTTTGGTCGAGCAAATACTGTTTCCAAGGAAGAAAGTGGGCTGCCTCAATACACTGTTAGAGAAGACTTTAGCAATAGTCAGAAAAGGATTTTAAAATCCCAGCCTTTTAAATGTTAACGAGTAACTAGTCCATGAAAACAGACGGATAGAATAAATGTTGATCCTGTATCTAAAACGGGGCAATTCTATAATTTAACAAGTCTAATATATGCCCTAATGATCAACTGTACTCGTCGATGATACCTTCTCTAAAATGAATACATATTCCTCAAGGCAAATGGCAGTAAAATGTTCTAATGAATGAGCTCATTTTAAAATAAGGGTTCCTATACTTTCGTCAAGGGCTTTCTGCAGATTTGGGAATAGATCTCATGGCTAATAGCTCTGCTTGATTGAGATCAGCGCCTGACGAGAAAAGCTCTTGGATAAAAGCTGTAGGTTTTGGGAACCTCATATTTACATTCACAACAGGCTATTTGACTATAACATTTTCCTCTTGAAATGGAAGTATTTAAATGTAAAAAATGTTCTAGTGCAAAGCAAAACGATGTGAGGAGAGTTTAAATCTACATAGCGTCTGATAAACTTTTTGAGCTCTTGCGAGGGAGGTTAGCAAACAAGTTTATTATGCGGCTTATAAGTATTTCAGGAATTCTATCTAATATTATACAGTCCTGGAATCAAACATCCAGCGTCTGCACATGTTTTTATAAACCGTATAGAAACATTTTTATTTTTTTTCCCTGAAATTTCATGCTGTATCCCTCTTTCACCTGAAATGTAAACACTGCTCACATTCACAACAGCTTTCAACGCCTGGGATACAGGTGCAATTTATTGATCTCTAGAAATTGTACAAGACTGTAACAGACCAACACAACTTTAACAAGAGCTCTGGTCTCCTCTGGGAACAACAACGAGAAAAAAGATGTTTTGTGTCTTTTAAAAGTTAGTGACATATCCACGCGGTTTATGTAAAATATAATGACACCAAAGCAACATCAAATACGGAAAAGAAACTGCAATAGAAAAACACACAGTGGTCAAATTGACAGATTTGTTCATGACATTATAACAGTCCTATATCCTCCCCAAACTGACCCACCCCCTAACAACCAACTATTCATAATGTTGAGACCTGCTCATTATAGTGTCGTGGTCCTCGACGTGCAAGTCCCATTTCTGTAGGTGCTGTCTGACTCCATGTTATCCGGCTGGAAGTCATCAACACTGTACGCTCGGCTTTTCAGAGCCGTGGCATAGTAATCAATCGGCTCCTCCGCGGCATTGTCCATCCAGCGAAGGCACAAAATTCTTTGGAATGATCTTTTGAAATTGTCCGAGAGGAATCCGTAGAGAATGGGGTTAGCACAGCTGTTGGCGTAACCCAGTATCACGGAGAGCTGGCTGATCGTCGCGTTGTGCTGCTGGACGAAAACGTTCACCAGCTGGACAATGTAAAAGGGCATCCAGCAGATGACGAACACCGTCACCACCATCATGACCATGAGGGTGATCTTTCTTTCGGACTTTTTGCGCTGCTGCCAGCCCGCCTTTAGAGCTACCACTCTCATTTTCACTATGATGAGAATGTAGCACATGCAGATCGCAATGACAGGGAAAAGAAATCCCATTAGAAACGTATAGATCACAAATACCGCCATCCACTGACGCTGGGGCTGTGGCATCTGCATGTTACAAGCTACAGAACCGTCAGAATTGGGTGCTGTTGTTGAAAATATAATGATGGGTAAAATCACCATTATAGAGAATATCCAAACGCCTAAGTTGACCATCTTGGCTATAGTGGGTCTCCGGTATCTGGCAGCTTTGATCGGGTGCACCACCGCAATGTAGCGGTCAATGCTGAGGACAGTAAGGCAGTAAATGCTAGTAAACATGTTGATGGCATCTACACTGAGAACAAGCCGGCAGAGCAGCGAGCCGAAGGGCCAGTGATGAAGCAGGGAGGAAGTCACCAAAAAGGGCACACTCAGCATGAGTAACTCGTCTGCGATCGCCAAGTTAAGAATGTAGATGTTAGTAGCCGTCTTCATCTTGGCATATCTCAGGATCACATAAATAACCATAGAGTTTCCACAGAGCCCGACCAGACAAACCACGGAATAGATGAAGGAGATCAGAATCGCGCTGCCGTGAGACTCGCTGTGCGTCTCGTTGCCAGAGGAATTCATTAAATAATAGCCGTCCTCTATGCTCAGGTGCCTGGAGGAGTTGTTGGGTAGCATTTTCGGTGGAGTCCCGTTCGCCAGAAGCGAAATGAGGAGTGCCCGAGCGGTGCCTCTGCTCAAAGCGCGCCGCTCAGCATGTCAAGACGAAGCTCTGGCTCTCCTGCTCTGAACGGATCGGGCTGAGGCTGTTCAGAGTCTGCATGGTGTGCCTGCTCGCCTTCCCTTCCTGCCCTGCCGGGTGTGCTTCAGCACCAAGGATAGCTCCTCTCGGTTAGATACTCGAGTATTAATTGTTGTCCCTTTGCCGGTGAATGATTAATAGCCCAAACGTCAGCAGCTGCAAAATGACGTTGTCTGTACTAGCAGATACAGCACTGCGACCTGTAATAGACACCACTTTACATGCATCAGAAGAGGATGACTTCCACTTTTCTTTTCAGTTCTCAAAGTTTTTTATGCGTATTTTATGAAGGGCTTCCGATTGGTGTCTTAATAACCAAATCAATTATCGTTGTTTTGCTTAGGAGATTCATCATATTTCTGTCTTTAGAAATAATATTAATAAAAAATTAAACTGACACGCCTTAGATCACATAATACACACATCTTGACATTTCTCGGCATGTTTGTTTTTTTGCGTTAAAAGCAGTCAGCATCTTTTTTTCCCCCGTATATTGAAGAAAATTCTAATATTATACACTACCAGAAACAATAAATCTTTCGAGATCATAGGCGTACAATAATGTTCTTGTGAAATCTGGTGAAGCTTTTTCTTGCATCTTTTGTGATTTAAATCTTCACAAACACAAGCGATGGCCATCAGTAGGCGGACTTGGCGGCTAGCGCTACAGTTTCACAGCTGTGAGGTCCTGCGCTCGATCAGGCGGGAGTCCTTGCTGTGTGGAGTTTGTGTGTTCATTTGGATTTTTTCCACATTTAAATGGTGTCTGTAAGTTGTCATTGTGTTCAAAGCATGGTAAATTAAAAGTGTGCGATGCCCTAGTATGACCTTATTTAGAATATCGCAGTTTTTGCCAACCAAGTCTCAAAAAATTCACAGCTGCTTTGGAACCAATCCCGACAAGAATGACGAGATACGTTTAAATGAACGACCCAGACCGACAGGTAACAAGTAAAGAGAACTGTATGTTTTTAGTTTTGTACCGAGAAGAAAAAGCTGTTTAAAATACCGAAGAGCACAAAGTCAAGCCACTGAGGTTATCCACAACTGGCACTGAAATGTGAATCCGAGCGCACAAGGCAAATGGGAAAGTGCATTAAAAACCGAGCACAGGAGGCCCTTTTTCGCACAACATGCTTGTGGGAGTCTGGAACAAGCCACTCAGCCATGCTGTTGAAACTGTTACTCTGGCTTCCTTCAAGAGAAGGCTGGAGGAGAGTATCACATCCCTTCTCCACTAGCAACCAAATGAGCCTGAGGAGCCACATGGCTCTGCTGCTGTGTGTTTACAAGCACCCCGCAAAAAAGGGGGTGCTGCCTTCCAGGTGGAGGCTCCTCCTGCACCCCCTGTCTACCAGGTCGGGCTCTGGCCCACCCTGCTTGTGGCAGCTCTGGGTGCTTTTCCAGTAACACGGAACGCAAAAATGGAGAGGGGGCTGAAAACAGCCCCACATGTGCTGGTTCTGTGCTCATTCCATCCCACGGCTCTGGGGGTCTCCTGCCAGCCCCGGCCTTCAGCTCCAGACCGCATTTGGCAGAAGTTCCCAATGAGCCAAAGCAGGACGGCAGATGGAAATCTCTCCCTAATTGCTCACCATGTGTTCTGCCTACAGTTACTGAGTAACTCGGGCACCGTTGTAGTAAGTCCAGTACTGGGCAAGTGAGTGGACAAACATCACTAGAAATAATTAACCCCTGCCATTCAGCTGCCCCTCCTGGGAAATATTTCCCAGATGGATCATTTTAAAGCTTCTTGTTAAAACTGCAACTCGGGGGGCACAATGCTTAACTACATCGTAATCATTTGACAAAGATTCTCTTTATTCAGTGTACATCAAATATTGAAAATAAATATGTGAACAAATTGCACAGCAGTCCAAAGCAGTCTGATTCCGCCTTGGCTTTAGCATTCTATAAAACTTAATGAATGTCCGCTTTTGATTTTGTGTTACATGAAACTAATGAGTCCTTTCAGCCTTTACATTTCCATCTGTGTTCTGCTCAATTATCAGTGCACTCCAGCATTAAAACCTTCTGCATTGATTTAATTACGCATTTAAATAAAAAATCATTTCGTGCCATTCCAATAACAGCCAAAGCTGAAGAATTACACCATTCCTATAAATCATCTGCAAACTAAATTACCTGTGAATTGTGGAACCAAAATCGAACAAAAGGATTGGTTTCAACCCACGATCTGTAGTGTTCTGTTTCTCCAGTTGTTGGCAGATGCTTAAGGGGTGTTCACAAAGTATACCAACATCCAAGAATCAGATAGCTTTGCAAATATTTAAGTATTTAAGTACAGAAAATTTTGGCTTAACCCACTAAATAAAGAGGTAGCCTCCTGGCCATAGGATGAGGAGGCTTGACCCCAAAAAGGGAAACGAGTGAACCCCAAAAACATGAATGTACAAACAGAGTCAGAAGGAGTGTAGATGTACTGGATGGAAATGCAGACGTTACGATAGAAAGAAAAGACAGACAATAAAAGCTGTGGGGCGCTTGCTGACTGAGCCAGAGATAGGACGCTGGACAGACAAGGGGCTGAAGAGATGACATCAAGGGCCAAGAGCATGACCCAGGGCTGCTTAAGCCCCAAAAGAAACAATTGAACCCCAAAACCACCAGTGCAGAAATAGGTCAGAAGGAACACGGAGATACAGACTTTATATTAAAGCAGAAGGCAGGAATGAGAAGCTGGGATGCTTGGTGACTGAGCCTGGGTAAGACAGCAGGCAGACCCAGGGACAAGTGTCACGTCCAGTACACCTAGAGGGCGCCCTACTTCTGTCCTGTCCCTAGTTCCCTGTGATTATTCATGTCTTTCTGGTGTGTCTTGTGTAGCCTATTTACTTCCTGCCTCTGCTCTGCTCCTTGCTTAGGATTGACGTTTGGATGTCCTGAGACCCACCTAGCACCAGGTCACTCCTGTCCATGGTCTGAGGGTATAGGTTCCTATACGGCATTTCTCGAACCCTAACTGCGCATAGCAGGGTCATCTGCTGCATGGGCTGGGGGAGGTCTCCTGTAGCTCACATGGCTGGTGTCCAGTTGCATTACACCGGAGACCCGGGTTCGCACCCCAGGTGCTGCGAGATGGAACAGGCCATTCCTACCATTCCTACCGGTTCGTCCTTTCCAACATCCTTGACACCAAGATGCTGTATCTGGAGTAGCAAAGGCCAGGAGAGGGAATCCCGGGGCCGGACTGGGAGAGAGCAAACTGTAGGACGCCTGCTGGCTGAGCCGCAGGTAGGACGCCGAGGAGACCTGCCGCCGAGGAGATGGCATCAGGGGCATCAGGGGTAGTAGAGGCCAAGAGAGAGGAACCCAGGCCAGGGAACGGAAGCAGAAGAGAGCAGTGAAGAGCAAGCTGAGTTAAATGAACGGACCTGAAAGATGGGAGAAGGCGTGGCTTCAAATTCTAAAGAGCATGGTCCAGTTATAGATCAAAACTGCGCCGGGCGAATGCAGGACAAGCAGCGTATTTTCTCTTTTGTTTTCATTATCCTGCTTGTTGCCTGAAGCACAGTCCATGTACAGAATGAACGCCATAAAAATGTGAAGCAAATGCGGAAGGAGTGTGATGTAAGTAGTTTATGTTTTGATCTGTCTTAGTTTTGCTTCTCTGCATGTTGTGTGTCCATTTATAGAATGAATGCGACCCATGCAAGAAAAGTGTGTGAGGTGAATGTGAAACAAGCAGCATTTTTCATTCCTTCTCCTTTTTGTAGATGCAGATACACATTTCCTGCCAGTCCATGATTGTGATTTAAAACAGCTGGGTGATATAGGCCAGTCTGTTGTTAACCCTCCCAAACGTCAATGAAGAACGTTCATTTATACAGTAAAGGAGATAAGATATTTTAAGTTTATTTTTAAATTGTGATAATATAAACCAAGAATGTGTGAATTTGATGATTTCTTTTCTTGAAAAGCCTTTGACCACCTATTTAAACATTTTGGAAAGCCCAGTTTTATCTTCCCCCTATCAATGCATTTCAGCTATACCAGTAAGTCATTTAATACTTTTGTTTTATTGCTTCTTATCAGATCTTTAACGTGCCTTCACAGATAAACAGTCAGACCCTCAGTACATCCCACACTGAATTACCGAGACCTTTTTACTTTAGGTAAAATCTTGCATTGACTAGATGTCATATGAAGGTAAATGTCTTGCAATACACTGCATTTTACTGACAAGCTTTAACACTGTTACAAAGCACATCTGGCTCTGATAATAAGATAAAACTCCATATAGTGTCTTTAATGCCTTCACCGTGTTTGCAAAAAATCTTTCACAGCAAACTTGATTTCCATGTTTGTACTGTGAATGGGCGGTTGTGTTGTATTTTACTAACAAAGCTTTCAGTGCTTATGACAGGAAAGCCTTTTCAGACTGTCAGCAGCTTCACTTTGGCACATTGATTCTCACAGCCAGATGGAAAGTGCACATGATTTTTATTGTACCTCAAGTCCTGTAATGTTTGCAGCAAGAGTTTCTTTTTCCTCTATGGTGGTTCAGCAGGAGATAAACACCGAAGGAAGGTTAGGAGTGTGTTTGAAATTCACCTGGGATACCATGGTTACTGGATGTGGCTGGCGTAGGCAATGAGAGCAGAGCTTAGGCATGATCTGTGACTTCATGATAAGCTACTGTATATCTACGATTTCAAAATGTTATAACTTGTCCTTTTATGAAGGAGCTGGTTAACCTTGAAAATCATTTATAATTGTTACTTTTCAGCTCGATGCTAGGGTGATGATGATAATAATAATAATAATAATAATAATAATAATAATAATAATAATAATAGGGCAAGAGTGAAAGACAACAAGCTGTGTGCCTCTTGCTCATACCAGCACTTTTATTGAACTAGTTCCTAGTAATCCCTATGACTCTAGACAAACCTTTGTGTAAAACAGTGTGCCCTGTACGCGGGATTATACACATTATTCACACGGGATTCAGGAAACAAGAAATTTCATCTTCCAATCGCAGCCAATTGTCTTGAGCAAAGAACAGCACTATGGCAATTGCTACAGCATGCGAGCTCACTCTCCGTGAAATTGTTAAACACTACTCCAGCAACAACTATTTTTTCACTAGATTCCTTTTTGGGAGTATTTTAAAACATTTTATAGGTAAGTGATAGGGATGGAGGAAATGATTAAACAACGTGAACACTGACTTTTAAAAATAAAATTGCACTTAGCATTTAAAGTAAACTCTGGATGACGTTTTAGTGCCCTCTAGTGGAGGCAATGGACTTCAGGAACTTGAGGAAATATTTTAGAATAAATTTTCGTTTAGTTATAATAATAATAATTCCTTACATTTATATAGCGCTTTTCTGGACGCTGGATAATGCAGTGGC